TTATTTCAACTAAACTTGCCCTTATTACTTATATCCCTCACTTGTTCTTAGCAGCACTAGTACCAAAATATTGAAATCTATACTTAAAATGCCTTAAAATATTTAAAACTTGCATTAAATACCGTCATTGTGCAAAGTTGAGGCATTTACGTGCAACTTTTAAAATTTTGAGATACTTAAGTGCTAGTTTTAAAAATCTTTAGAGTACTAAGTGTTGTCAAAAAACAAATAACGGATGCAAGTGCAGTTTTAAAAACCCGAGAGTACATTAAGCGCATCAAACAAGTAAAGACTATATAAGGGGCAATGTGGAACTGTAGAGAATACTGTTATTGGAACGTAAAAACAAGTAAAGCTATATGACAGTACATGTTACCGTGCTACTGCTTGGGGGAATGTGCGAACTGCAGCACAATAACCCCTTAATATTTAGAGTATTCAGCTAATCCCTCTCTATTGCTGTCTACATATCACTGATATACCATTTTTGTATAGGCGGCCTGAAGATGATTAGGTTGGCAAGGCGGCTTCAAAGGGCAATTTACAATCTAAGCTGCCAGGTAATAGCCAAGGAAAATGCCAGCAGGGGATTATCGGGTGACAAGTTCTCAAAGGTACTACGTTAGTGAGTGGTCGTCTGTATACTTGTGGAAATTAGCTTTTGGTGGTTTTCTTTTGGCCTGTATGTTTTTTTTTTCTCGCAATTATTAGACATTTGTGTTGTCTGTTATATACATTAGTTTGCGTGGATGTTCACTTGATTTGACGAACTTAATAGATGACGACAACGGTCCTCCTATCAGCTCGTTCTCACTTCGTAATTTTCCCTGGTTATTGCTTCGGTTGTATCCGATTTTTGTTTTCAGTTTCCATATATATATATATATATTATATATATATATATATATATATATATGATAATATATATTATATTATATATTATATAATATGCGATGAGCAAACTTCTGTCAACTTAAGTGACGTCCACTAATTTATCTTATACCATGATGATTTACTTTGATTGAGCTTATTTGTGGTGATCCGTTCGCTCTAACTTGATCTACATTTCTAAAACCCCAACACACCAAATTTGGTGTGAACTCGTTGTGGTTTTGACCTTCGTCGAGCCATGTAAAAGAAGTTCTATTTCACTCGAAAACCGTTAAAATTGATACGGTGGTTGAGGCGTCAAACTACGACGGGTCTCACCCAAAATTTGGTGTGTTGGGGTTTTAGATATGTGATCAAGTTGAACGGACGGATCATCACAATGTATCTCAATCAAGGTGATCATCAGATGGATAAGAAACTTAGTGGACGTCCCACTTAAGTCTGAAGAAGTTTTGCTATATATTATATATATATATATATATATATATATATATATATATATATATATATATTATATATTATATATACACATATATATATATATGTATGTGTGTGTATATATAATATATGTGTGTATATAATATATATATATATATATATATATACACACACACGCGCGCGCGCGCGCACACATCAAAGCCATCATCCTAAATGTTTGGGATCGGCTACATGAATCTTATTCTTTCATTACATTCTATTATGGGCATCTCCTCCGTTAAGTTAATCATAATCATATCCTTCTTAATTGTTTCTAAGTTAGTTCTTTTACGTCTACTTCTAGATCTCCTAGCCCATTAACTACAATACTATCACTTTTCCTAACCTGTGTACTAAGAGGTCTTCATTTTACAAGACCAAACCGTCTTAATCGATTATCTTTCATTTTATCCGCACTAGGAGCAACCTCTAATTTACTACGGATTCACTCTTTTTTTTCTTATCTTTTGGTGTATACCTACAAGACAATCGCAACATTCTCATTTCTGCTATGCCCATTTTTTGTACATAGCTTTTAATTGCCCAACACTCTGACCCATAAATCATTATTGGTTTTATAACCGTCCTATTGAATTCTCCTTTTAGTTTCATTGGTATTCAACAATCACTAAGACTCTCAAAGCACTCCTCTATTTTAACCATCCCGATTTAATTCGATCGACAACAACATCCTCAATCTCACTATCATGCCAAGTGACTGATCCTACATAACGAAAATGACTACTGGTAGATATTTCTTTACCATCAATAAGTACTATCAGCTCTTTTCTTTTCTTAGTTTTACTAAAAATGTACTCCATATATTCTATTTTTGTTCCACTAATTCTAAAACATTTAGATTCAAGAGCTAGTCTCTAACTTTCTACTTTAGAAATTATACCCCTTCTAGTTTTGTCAACTAACACCATAACATCCGCAGATAACATACATACACCATGAAATTTCATCCTAAATATGCCTCGTAAATTGGTCAATAACTACTGCAAAAAATAAGGAGTTAAGGCTGGCCCTTGTGTAAGCCTATGATAATAGGAAACGGCTTAGGCCCTCCTTCATTAGTTCTTATTCTAATTGTTACTCTATCATGCATATCTTTATATATATATATATATATATATATATATATATATAGAGAGAGAGAGAGAGAGATAGGCTACTAATAATAGTATCCAACATACAGATAATATTAACTAACTTTAAAGTTCGAAACCCAAAAATAAAAATCTGAACCTTTAGATGTGATATACTACATATGAATTGTTTAGAAACAAAATTTTCAATAATTCAACATCACTAACTCATGCATAATATGCCGTCAAAATCAATGTTTCAAAACTTCCATAAAGTTACTTCATTTTTTGCCTCTTGATATATAATTCAAAACGTCAAAATCCTTTGAAATTTTGTTTTTAAGTAGTTCTACATCCAATAGTTCGTATTTTTATTTTTGGATTCTAATTTTTAAAATTGGGTTGAGAGTATCCACATATTGGATACTATTAAGAACAATGATAATGTACACAACAATTTGTACTACTTTGTACAAATATAAACAAAAGAACGGGCTCCATAGTGACTGATATTCTTTCTTGACATTTTTCAAGAAAGGACCGTACACATTGGTAGTGGGAGTACAAAAGTAGTACGGAACTTGTGCTACAATTATCATTTTCCTGCTATTCGTAGCCTAGCTCATCTCTCTATATATATAGAGAGAGAGAGAAATGAGTATGCTTGGTACAAAGCACAAGTTTTTGTAATACCCCAACCCTTGAGAGGGTGATGTGATTAGTATTGATAGATTTGATTGGAATACTCATACCACCAAGATGCATCTTCTTTTCGGGAACCCAACTCTTAGAAACTCCAAAGTTAAGCGTGCTTGGCCTGGAAAAATTCTAGGATGGGTAGAAACTCCAAAGTTAAGCGTGCTTGGCCTGGAAAAATTCTAGGATGGGTGACCCCCTGGGAAGTTTTCTAGAGAACGCGTGAATGAGGACAAAACATGCTGAAAAGACATGTGGTGATTTGTGAGACCAGTCCATCAGATCTAGTAGCGTACCGACTACGGGATTCCGGGACGGGGCATTACAAATGGTATCAGAGCAAAACCAATCGGAATTGTGAGAGCTAAGTGCTATGCGGAGCAAAGTGCTACGTCAAGAGGGCGGGAGCCACCTCTTGAGGTCGTAGGAGCCACTTCTAGAATCTCACACGGATGGTACGGTCTTGGATGATATGATTTGACGCAACGAGGACGTTGCGAGTTTAAGTGGGGGAGTTCGTAACACCCTAATCCTTGAGAGGGTGATGTGATTAGTATTAATAGATTTGATTGGAATACTCATACTACTAAGATGCATCTTTTTTGGGGAACCCAACCCTTAGAAACTCCAAAGTTAAGCGTGCTTAGCCTGGAGAAATTCTAGGATAGGTGACCCCCTAGGAAGCACGTTTTGTCTTCACTCACGCGCTCCCTGGAAAACTTCCCAGGGGGTCACCCATCCTAGAATTTTTCCAGGCCAAGCACGCTTAACTTTGGAGTTTCTAAGAGTTGGGTTCCCGAAAAAAAGATGCATCTTGGTGGTATGAGTATTCCAATCAAATCTATCAATACTAATCACATCACCCTATCAAGGGTTGGGGTATTACGGTTTTTGTGCTTAGTAGTGAGGTGGCATATTCTCCTCCACTCATTGAAATCGGGACCCACATTCACATGGGTTAGGGAGTGGTTATGAATTTGAATGAGTGGATGGGAATAGGACACCTCACTACCAAGCATAAAATTTATGCTTGGTACCAAGCATACCCATTTTTCTCATATATATATATATATATATATATATATATATGCTCAATCAAGTGCAATCTATAAAGAAATTTTGAAATCTCAGTGTCAATTTTGGTGTCAACTGGTAGTTTATTAGTTCCTAAATTTTGCAGTATTTCTATGGTCTTGATTTGGAAATACTGGATGTGGACAAAAGACGTTTAGGTGATTTCAGTAATTCACAAACTTTCTACATCGGTTTTTTTTTCATTTTACTGGAAACAGCTTGCAACTTTGGACTTGGAACTCTCCCCAATTGACAGACTTCTGCTAATCGAAGGTAACGAAGGCAACACCTCTGGATACTCCACCATTTTTTTAACTCATTCAGCAACAATGCAGAGACCGCCTCACCATATCTGAAAGTATCCTCTTCAATAACAATGTGGTCAAAATATAAAATAAAGCAACCACTTGTCTTACAAGGAGAGGTCATTGTAACATTGAAGGGTTCCATTAGGAATGATAAGGCCTCTCTTGCGACCTTATTCTCCAAAATTCAGTTCTTGTTAAAGATATATGAGACCTGAATCAAACCACTCTTATTGATCCACCTCAATCAATGTCAACTCCCCAATTAATAAGGGGTTTGAGGGAAATGCTCCAAAGTTTCGGGGGTTTTTGTGAAACTTATTACTGAACAGAAGATACAAAAATACATGCAAGCTATAAAGTATGTATCTTAAATTTTCGGAAATTGTATAAATTAAGAAAGAGCTAACGCATAGAGATTACTGACAGAAAATAACCACAACAAAATAAATAAAGAACCACACACCTGAACATGTTGTACAGAATTTTCCTGTTTATCAGCACCCTGAAGCTCATTTTCATCTCTGACATTCACCAGAGGATTCGTTCTAGAAGATGGATCTTTTTTAACCCTCCTTCTATGTAATAGTGTCCAAAGTAAAATTGCACAAATGAAGGCAATGTACATAATAGCTAGCGACAATTCCAAGCATCTGACCTGAAGGTATACGGATATCATAAAAAACTCAAAAACAGAGGATATATAATAACCCAAAAGGATAAAACTTCATAATATTCAGTAAATATAGACAAAGGTAAATATTGATACTGTAAGTGTTTTAAAATACCAATGCAATTGATATACTCTGAATCTGCAGTTTTACGTCATTGTTATACATGAAGAATGAAATGAAGAAAATATGCTTCTTGGAAAGTCATTACAGACAATATGCAGATTTGCCGTTAAAGATCCAGCCTTCAGCAAAATACTGGGTGCTCATCCTAGACAATAACCCTTATTTCTATCAGAAAATAACTTCGCTAAGATTGAGCTGATGTTTATAGGATAACAATGCGTAGAAGAATAACATAACATGCAACACTCCCTCTCACATGGGCCCTCTGCTCATATGACAAAGCATCAAGGGTAAACACGACATATATATTGGAAAGGCAGAAGAAAGGGCGCAATAAACATATATTGAATTGGACCTCTGATAACTTAATACTGATTAATTGTGGGCTAATAATGAATATATTAAATTATCAAACAGTTGATAGTGAGTACTTAAGAAAACTAAAGATCTGGCACCAAACGATCATGTTAAGTAGCACTTAAAAACAGCAGAAAACAACAAACATTATTCAGTGACTTGGTCACATCTTTCTATGTTCCCATATGACCATATTTCAGTAGCCAAATGCAGAAAACATGCTCCCAATCTATTCACCTTAGCTGATAAACAATGATCATCTAGTGCCTTCATTTAATCATAGAAACAACAATTTGCTTCTCCCTAAGGTCTTTATGAAATCTCATTGTTCAGATATATTTAAGTCTCCAGTCATAAGCAAGAAGATACTAGCGATTTCGGACACTGGTTCTTAATCAAAACCAGATTGACTCCAGTTTCCTAATTTTAATTTCCTTATCCTGTGCCCATATTCTTCAAAGAACAAAAATATGGTGTGTTCCTTGGATATTATACCCTACTTGAATTGTTTCAAAATTCTTCCAGTGGTTGGTTTTGATAAGTATATACCCTGCATTATCTCTTTTGGCATTGCCAGTAGTTTCTGTTTTGAAATTCAGTTACTTCTCAATTTAAGAAATAAAAGTTGTAATTCATAAAATTAGATACATATGAAATGATGTTTCTCCCTAACTACTCAGAAACTATTTGACTTAAAACATGCCCAATATGAATGAGTACACACTAAAGCAGATAACCTGCCATGCACTGTTATTAACCACTTCTCATGCACATCTTGATGCATGCTTATTTCCTCAGGCTGGCTCTCTTCAAAGCTCTGTCAAGCTTTTTGAAGAATAATCGCTTCCAAACTCAAACGAAAAGCTACATATCTCTAGTAGCCTACAACTTGTCACTTAAGCATCACTGAAGTGTGTGCTTTGTGCCCATGAAGCTCTCTTTTTTTTGAAGCATACGCTTCAGACAAAATATGAGGTTAAATAAAGATTATTAACTAAAATTAAAATACCCCTATGTCTTTCCAAATCAATCATCTTATCCTATCCTATCATAGGCCTCCAGGAAAACATTTCTTACCATTAATTATGTTTCCCAACAATTCTGATTTCTTGTTTCTTTGTGTATCTATATGGGTTTATAGGTTTCTCTAGCATTCTTTATTTTCTCTCATTTGTGAGGTATTCATATTTTCTTATTCATTTTTATCTGGACTCTCGAATTAATGCAACAGTTAAGCTTAGTATTTTTATAAGAAACTGTAATTGTAGGCCATGCTTATTTATATGGCCATGAGACAAAAAAGCTATATATATGGTTTATGTGGCTTAGTTTATTATGATTTCGCTTCATACTAATTTACTATCCAAAACTTGAATTTTTCCTATTCGTAAATTATCACACCACTATATATTATATGCTTATAAAAATTGTGAGTTAAAATTAAAATATAATAAATTTATGAGGCTTGTGTCTCACGCCTTGAAGTTGACATAGGGTCCAACTCTTTCACCTTGCGCTTCCACCTTTTAAGACATTGCTAAAGATTAAAATAGAAAGTAATATGTAAAGATGAAGACAAAAAACAGCAAGAGGTTTTGACTATTGTTCGTTTAGATGACTGAGGAAATGTACATATATTCACAATTGTCAGAACGAATGGCTGAGACAGTGAGCATGGTCAGTTCCGATGCATTAAATCACATGGATATCTACATAAGTTGGCAACTCAAATGTCTGCTTGACTGACAGGTTACAGAACTGGATACAGAGCTTGGAAATGCCTATAGGCCATCAAAACACAAACATATAATTGGGGTGCAGTGATACAGATAGGAATGCCCAAATAGAATGCCTCTTTGGATATAAGAACAAACCACAAGGTAGCTGGATAGGTTCTAGATAGAGATGCAAACAGAATATTAGATAGTGGGTGAAAGTAACAAATGTGTAGGGCTGAGAAAGGTGCAATATGCATCCACTGATAAAATTGATACTCCAGAAATTTAAATTATAGGTACCTATATTTTCTTCATGATTTGCAATCTTGCACAAGGGAGATTAATGGTTTGCAAGATCAATGCTGACATTAACAAATAAAAAATACAACATAAACTCCTTATTACCTCTAAAGAACCCATTTTGATTCTGCAAGAACCGTTCTTATGGGAGGCTGGAGGAGCAGACTCCGAGCATACAGAAGAAGAAGGGCAATCACCGCATGAACATCCCAAGGAAGGGTCTCCACATGGATGAACAGTTACATTCAAAGGCTTTATCACAGATGATGCAAAAATATTTGATCGGAAATCAATTGCATATGGTGAGCCAGGCTCACCATCACCTGCTCGCTTGCCCATGAATGCAAGCCATTCTACCAAAACAATTAAAAAATCTGAAAGTTAACGAAATGAAAAAAAAAGATGCAGATATTTGAGTTTTCAATGTCACATCAAGCCAGTAGTTTCACAAATAATGAATATAGAAATTAATTACAGAAGCCCATGTAAAATGTGTCCATTGATTTTTCATTGAGATAAAAAAAAGCTGGTGAAAATTCAAGGGATAAAAGAGTTGTGCACAAGTGCTCCTATCATTACAAGAGCTTTACTCTACACACAGGCAAGCACGCACCCACACATACACACATAGTTCTTACCAGGAAAATTACAACAGTGATGGCAAAACCACCAACTAGTGTTTCATTTATAAGACCTTTTTTATAAATAGTAATACAAAATCTTTCAGAAAACAGGTACATTTACAAAGAACTGGTGAAACATAATGTAACTTTTATATTCTTGTCAACATAATTGCCTTTCCAGAAAAAATAACTTGTTACACTTGTATATAATATTATATTTCAACAATCCATATACTTCCATTATCCATCCAAACAAGAACTCGATAAATTGTTAGTTCCTTACGAAAGTGAAAGTAATACGATGAAAGCTACATAAATGTATGATGCTCCTGCATGGATTAGTCTGCCATTAAATCAAACACTTACCATGTAAAACCAAACAATTCTAAATGTGTCCATAGTTTGAAAACCCATCCTTAGTGACTCTATTCATTCTGTTAGCCAGGATATTGCAGAACACATGCATGTAGGTCCTATCATGCGTGGGTGGATTTTTCACCACATTTTCCCCATTTTTTTTGTGACTATATTCATTCTGTTAGCAAGGATATTGCAGAACACATGCATGTAGGTCCTAGCATGCGTGGGTGGATTTTTCACCACAGTTTTCCCATTTTTGTGAGCGATTCACCGGCCCGAAGTGATAAAGATTATATTAACTGGGGGCAAGAGGACTTGATTTAGACCTACAAGAACTTGGCCAGAATCAATTGAGAAGGTAATAGTTAACTTATTGGAGGTGATGACTAGTAATGAAACTGAATGGAAGAAAAGGATTCATGTAGCTAACCCCAAAATATTGGATAAGGGCTTTGTAGTTCTTTTTTTCTGATTTCTCTTAGCTAGTAGGATTTTTTCCCTTTTCATTTTTGAGTTATGGGAGTTCTATTCTTTGGAGGAGCACAGGGTTCTTTTGGCTCCATCACATTATGGAGTCAGAGAAGTTGGATATCCATATGAACTCATGAAGAACAAAATACATAGGTGTTTATACAACCAGCATGTGTATTTAATGTGAAATGAAGCATCTAAAGCATCAATATGTTTCTAATATGGGAAGTAGACCTGAGAAGTCCAACAAATATCTTCATAACTGTAATCAAGGTGATGAAGAGAACAACTCGGAATTGACAGATAAAGATAGATCATCAGCTACTAGTATACCATGGCAGCATTGATTAAAAAAGGTTACTATTAGAGGTATAGCTTTAAATCCTTTCGCTAATGCCTTCAGGGAGAGAGTAGTAGTGTTGTTCTTTCTGATAGATGTGTATCCAATGAAATACTAGAAGCTTATGCTAGATATAGCAAATATAGTCATTTATCTTATCAAGGATAACTTTGAAAGTATATCACCTATGTCTGCAAATGTCCATGCAGGAACTGGGAAAGTAGTTACTGATTCTACTAACCTGTATAATTCTGAGCACCTCCACCAATTAATTCCATGGCCCTACTATTCATTGTCCCAAATTTGACATCTTTGCAAGAGTTATACAACTCTTCAGCATACGTACTTGTAATATATAAATCAATACCATCAACAGCTGTAGTGTTGGTAACCTACCAAAAAAAAGCAAATAGCATTTAGTTTATACAATAGAAGTCTGGATATAGAGATGGACATTCATGTGCCAAAAAATGCAAGGAATGAAAAGTTATTGGGGCATAAATACAACTAGAAGGAACCCAGAACTGCACAACAATCTTCAAAATGAAGAGAAGAAAAAAATTATAGAATGTGACAAACCTTTAATATGGAAGTGACATTAATGAATAGGCTTTGATTTGGAGAACATGAGAGCTCGCAGAAGAGATTTAAAAAGTTCCTCAAGCATGCTGGGCACCCCACAATTAAAGGAATCGCCTGCATAAGATCTTCAATAAAATAATGGATGATAGTTGTATGGTTCGATATACAGAAAGAATAGAACACACAAAGAAACAAGAAGATGTGAATGAGCTCTAACTAAACAAAAGCAAAAACTTTATAATGGTTACTCAATAAAACAATGCAGGCGAGAATAAGGTCTGTCACAAAGTCGTTACACCCAGTGTTTGTGTTACAAGAAAACATTTGGACTAGAAAGCTCTAATTATTCTGTGAAGTTCCTGAAGCTTAGATCTACTTTCAGGCAGCTTCAAGCATCTATGTCCAGTATCAATAATCATTATAAGTTGTTCACCATTAATCTTTGGCCCTGATATAATATCCTGGGTTGTCCACAACATCGATCACAGTTTAGAAATTATTCATTTACCACTAATAAAGGAGCATCACAGCAGGGCAGCAAATAGATACAAATACTCTGGTACTCTATTTGTTTTGAATTTGGATATCCAACATTGCCATCTAAAAATGTATATGAATAAGGTCCTGCATAAGTATGTGAAATATCTTTAATACATATCTGAATCTGCCATAAAAGGCAGCCCAGTGCATGAGGCTGCCACCATTGTCAGCTCTAGGGAGGGTCATATGTATGTAGCCTTACACTCGGATGCAAAGAGGTTATTTCCAATAATTGAAACCCATGACCTCCAGGTCACAAAGGAAGCAACATACCATTGCGTCAAGGCTCACCCACACTAAAGTATTCCGATAACATCATAACACATGTTGATTAAAATTTAAAAAAAAGTAAAGAGCTAGTGAGATTTTAATATTATTGTGCTAGTGTAGAAGTTTGCAATTTGCTATTACCCCACTAGTATCTGGCTAGAACACATTCAGCTCAAATAAAATTTGTTCCGACTAAATGTACACACAGAGATTAAAATCTATACCGTCTTTCTGTTGTACTGAATGCAACAACAAGGTTAAATTGAAAATTAAGATGAATTTACATTTGAATAAAACAGTTCACAGCTCTCTGTTAGTACGTGAGATCAGGGCTTTGCAATTTTGAGAATAACTCAACAGTACATTAGGACCTACCACCATTGCCAGGTAGAGAGAAAGAAAAAAAGATAGGAGTCATAGGTAAATCTTTAGCATAATGGAAATAGCTTGATTAAAAGCTTAACACAAAAAATAAAAATGAATCATTCATCTGGTCTAACAAAGAAGAATAACATTAAAATAGTACAATTGATGGAAATATTAGAGAATCTTTACTTGTTGGACTTGTTTACGCAATGTGTCGAATTGATCAGCAGTGCAGCAGACGTTGCCAGTAATTGTTGGGCACAAACTCTGGACTTTTGAAGATAACAGCTTATCTGGCTGAAAAGTAAGTACAAGAGATGTTGTGAATTTAAGTGCAACAAGAAATTTTTTACCATGTTCAACATACAGATAAAAGTATGAAACAACTTGTCAAATAAGATCAAATTCCCACATTTTGGACTTCATATTCTCATATACTTTTCAACATCCTATGCTTCCACAAATAAGTACAGCAAAACAGATTAACTATCACATTCAGGATAATTGTGAAAATTTCCAAATTGATCATATCAGATCCTTTTCGTCATACCCAATAGGTAGCATGAAAACGTAAGATTAGTTTTGGTCCAAGAATAATTGTAACTATGAGCCATTAGCCGTCTTAAATTCGTGAAGTATACTCTCCAACCCTGCACATGTGTCAAACCTAACAATTATACCCCAGTAACAAAATTAGTTTCCTCTTATCTATGTTCTGCTTCCCACATTTCTCTGCTTAATTCCCTAACTCCAGTAATGTCTTATCCACCGTCTTCCATATGCTAACTACTGAATAAACATCCAACTGGGAGTTTGATTCAATTTGTTTCCTTATTGTGTATATAGTTAACATAAACTAAGGCAAGTCCATAGAGCACATATTTTTCAAATTTTCTCCTCATCCAGCCTCTTTATTTGTCTAGGAAATTTACAGAAAAGAGCACCTCACCAGGTCATTTAACTGTTAAAATGATATAGCACTGAACTGCAATCCCCTGAGTGTGGTGACGTTCTAGATTTTTGTAAAACACCTCGAATCATGAACTTGTCCCAACATGAAGGGTTATAAAACCTTGGTCATTCATGATGGGCAAACTACCCAATTAAGGCTTGTGCTCGCTCCACAGAACACACAATGACAGTGAGGAACATGAGAAGATGAGTATTGTCATTCAAAGGATTTTAGTTCGAAATTTAAAATTCTTCATGTTCTGCTAACATTCATCACTCCTGCTAACATGAAGAGTCATTGCTACTCACCTTCACAGAAGGGGTATTAAAAGGGCAGTTCAGAGGCTTTCCATCACTACGTTCTGCACAAATCCCATACATAGAGCAAAAACCTTCTGCATATATTTTTCTGAGAATTACAAAGAAAAGCAATTAATCAATGCTAGGTGACTAAATATCAGAGATAAACATGCGAGAGAATAACTAGAAAAGAATAGGAAAGTTGATGATTCACAAAATAATGAATCATAAAACGAAAACTATGAATGTGCTGAGATTGAAGTCTACGTAAATACTCACAGTAACAAATTAGTCAAGCATAAACTTGTTTCGGATCCTTTATGACATTAGTAATATTTCCTTAATAATTTTTTTAAAATAATATAGATATGAAAGTATACGTAACCCCAATAGATCCTATGATTGTGCATCTAGATTGTTAAACAAAATTCCCATCATGTCTTTAATCTTTCTTTTTTTTATTTTTTTTATTTTTTATTTTGCTTTCTTGAGGGCTCTTGCTGGAGAACAATGATGGATTGGGCAAGTTTCAACTAAAACGCAGAAGAGCTCATTTTTTTTCCATACCCAACAATGGACCTACATGCGTTTAGTATTCATAAACCTCTCTGGTGTTCCTAATTTTTCCGCAAGGAATTTAGCACTAACCTAAGAGACTTGCATCAGGTTGATAACCAATCATGAAAGATCATCAGATTATTTGTTTATTTGTGAAACCTTGATGATAGCCTCCAGACCCAAAAAGGCCTAGATGATGATGATTGTGCTGAAGAAGTGAAACCTGAAAATTTTGCAACACTAACCTCAATATCATGATCCATCTCAGTCACAAACATTGATGAAAAGGGTGGAAAGAGAAACTCATTCTTTCTAGAAAGATCATGATGACTGAAACCAGTGAAAAGATCACACAGATACCATCGGCTAGAAATAGAGATAGCTCCTATTAATGATAAATGAGAGAGTTGATTGAGATGGGTAAGTCAGGTACAACTGGCTACCTAATGCACCAATCAGGACAAGAAATAAGATTAACAAGGACTAGAGGTAGGCCCAAGCGAACTAGGTTGGAAGCAATCAAAAAAGTTATAATAGTGCTTAATTAAATAGAGAAGATATCACTCAACTAACTGAAAGAAGAATAGAATTCATGTATAGGACCCCAAAATATATGGGAAAAGTATCTTGTTGTTGTTGCCGCTAAGTGATGCACAAGCAGCAGCTTTTTTCAATAGTGTGGAAATTTTGTAGCAAAGATTATGTCAAGCAATGAGCTACATGGATCGAGTACAAATTATTGTCAAAAAAACACTGGATTGCATAACAATCATTCCAAAAAACTAAATATATAAATGTACTTGAAAACCTCAATTTTCTGAACCATAGTTCATAATTTTCATTTTTCAGTCATAAATGAGTCACTCTAGCACCACTGTCGAACAAATTCTCCTCACTGATGCCATGAACGTAGCTGAATGACAGTTCTGGTTTTGTGAAGCATCTTGACAGCTTTACAAGTTGATTCAAGGAAGCTGAATGAAAGTCGCAGAGAATAAAGAATAAAGATATCAAACATTTGTGACCTGTTCACTACAGCAAGGTATGATATATGCTAATTCATAACCTGGTGCCAACACTATTTACTGCAAAAGATATTTGTACAAGAGATGAACCTTATACTGAACCTAGAAGTATACTGATTCTCAATTACACAAGTATGATCTAGGAAAACCTGAAATTTTTTGCAGTTGCATAACTTGATATATGAATACTATCCATTTCTGCCAACAGTTTTCAGACAAAAGCCTGACCTCACAGTAAAATACCTAAGGTGGCAAGGGAGTATCCTGTCAGTTAGACAATTCATGCATATGCAACTAGTTGAAATAGGTGAAGGTTCCCATGAACATCATCTATGCTTGAATAGTTTATGCTCATTAATATTGGAGATGACAAGTTTGATAGGGAAGTGAATCTGGAACTAGAAGTTGGACCAATGAACTATATTAATTAGCAATTGAGACGAGCCTTGAAAGAACTGAAGGGAAAAGAAGACCACATTGTGCTAGAGAGTTTGATAGATGGGAAATTTTCCCATGGTGACTTGTTAAGCAAATTATTCAAGGCCACATTATTGGCCGTGCGTGGGGTGGGCGTCAAATCATGCATGATCAGCACAGTATCTACACAGAACCCACAATGTAACTTTAGACCTGTCTCCTTCCTTTATAAGGGATCTTTAGTAGGAAAAGGATCAATTCAGGAGTCGCATAATGCAAATTTGCTTAAGAATACGCAGGCATATATACATGTCACACATGCATACAGTTTAGGACCAAACTCATACAGTGATGTCCTTACTCTGGTTCTGAGTCAGTCAGCATACGAAAATGGGGCTGATAATCTTGAGTGCTCGCTGAAAATACATGGAGATTGACCTGCATATGTCATGTTGCAACAAATTAGCTATGTCAATCTAATAATCGTTGAACTGCTTCAGTGTACATCAATCGAATTTAAATCATATGTAAACTTACATTAAAAAATCATAATTTAGTGTGTAGAAAAAATGGACATGAGCACTTCAAAAAGTGAATTGTTAGGTCTTGCTTTAAGCATCTCTAAAAGCTTGCTTCAACAAGTTTGGTGTCCCAAATAAAAGCCAGAATAACATAACCAAAAGAATATCAGTTGTCAGCATCTCCCAGTTTATAAATTGTTATACAGTTGCCTTTGGATATGTGTATAAATAATTTTTGCCCATCAAGCAATCTCATGAGAAGAAAATTACCCCTTATGAAAAAATGTTAAATAATTCTCCATGAACTTAACTTTATCTTTTGAGGTGTAAGCACCGTGTTATCAAGAAAAATATACCACCAAAAGTGATTCCAAGTATAAATACAAATGGTCTTTTACCATGCAGTACAAAAGACTCATAAAATATAAGATGTCTTCTAAAAGATATTATAAGAAACCATCTTGCATTGATTGCAGAAGGACCAATTGCAGTGATTGGCAAAACTGCTACATTGGGGCTACACAGAATCTGTGTAATTACTTATTTAACACATCAGGATAATCTCAAATATTAAAAAAAATTGTGCATTAAATATATATTTTTGAGCTAGAAATCGTACAGTGAAGTGGATTTATTCTCTTCTTTTTAAAAGGGGGCTGAGGAATGAATTTGGTTGGGATGAATGAGTGGATTCACTCATGGCAACCCAAAAGCCAAATACTCCCTTTTCATAAAGGCACCTGTTGACATATGAGTAATATGTAGGGACTTATTTGTAAGTTGTATTTTGTAGGGGCCTATATAAGCCCAAGAGATTGCATAATAAGATTAGGGTTTTCACATTCTTTATGGTATCAGAGCCACCAAAACCCTAGCCGCCGCCCCCCCCCCCC